GGAGACTAGAACCCACAGCTGTCTTCCAAGCTAGCACTTTTCCTCTACCAGTGTGACTGAAGAATCACCCAGTTTCTATAGTGTCCCACACAGCTGCACTAGGAAATACGTCCCCAAAGAACCTGAACCCTCTATTAGCTGGGTTATTTTTCTGCATTCCAGACTTTAAGAGCAAAGGATGTCAGGCTTCTGTTTGAGGATTCAGTCTCTTTCCATTTGTTTTGCACCAGTAAGGGGAACAGCTTGAGGACAGCCCACAGGCATTTCTTCCGATCTCCTCCCTTTTACAACCCTGACCCAGAATGAATGCTGCCATACTCCAGATCTTCCTCCTGGGACCCAGCCAGACTTCAGCTTCACTTTGTACTTTGCTAAAGCTAATGATTTTGGTTTGCTTTAATTTGTAAAGGGTTTACCACATCTTAAGCATGTGTGTGCCACACTAAGGTAAGAGAACAACCTTCAGGAGTACCTCTCTCTTTCCACCATGGGTTCCAGGATTGAAGTCAGGTTGTGAGGCCCAGCAGGAAGTTCCCTTACCTGCTGAGCCATCTTACCAGCCCCTATTTTTTTTTTTTTATTAGATTTTGTTTTGTGTGACTATATAGACATAGGTAATGGCTCATGTGTGGCGATCAGAGGACAACTTTTGGGACTTGACTCTCTCCTTCCACCACCATGTGGGTCTTGGAAATCAAATTCAAGTTATCAGTCTTGGGGGTGAGCCCCATTTTACTAAGTGAGTCATCGTACTGACCCCTTGTTTTGTTTTGAGATAGAGTTTCTTGTGTTCTAGGCTGGTCTTAAATGTGACAAGGATATTCTTCAACTCCTGACTCCTGTCTCCATCTTCTCAGTACTGGGTTTACTGGGATGCCACACCATGTTTCTGAGATGCAGAGCTTAGTGTATGCTAGGCAGGGACTCTTAAAAAAAATGACGTGTCCCAAGCCCCAGAAACTAACACTAAACAAATGAATCTGCAAAGGGGCTTGTGGTAGTCTGAATACACTTGGCCCAGGGAGTGGCACTATTTGGAGGTGTAGCCTTGTTGGAGGAAATGTGTCACTGTGGGCGTGGGCTTTAAATCCTTCCTCCTAAACATGTGGAAGTCAGTATTCTGCTAGCAGCCCTCAGATGAAGCTGTAGAACTCTCAGCTCCTCCTGCACCATGCCTGCCTGGATGCTGCCATGTTCCTTCCTTGATGATAATGGATTGGACCTCTGAACAGGTAAGCCAGCCTCAATTAAATGCTGCCCTTTGTAAGACTTGCCTTGGTCATGGTGTCTGTTCACAGCAGTAAAACCCTAATTAAGACAGGGCTGTAGGTGTAGCCAGTGGTAGGGCCCTTGTCTATCCTTGTCTATCCTTGCCGAGCCCTTGTCTGTCCTTGTCTATCCTTGCCTAGCCCTTGCCCAGCATATCCAAGACCGTGAGTTCCATCCTCAGCATAGCAGAGAAAGGAAGTGATCCCAGAAACAGTGCAAGGTAGAAATAACTCTTTTTTTTTTCCAGTATACCCATTAGATATTCACAAATTTTCACTGAATGAAGATTCTCTCTTTCTCCCGTAGTGAGGAGTGACTTTGGTCTTGTAACCACACACTGGGTGGGAGGCCCTGGGTCCATTCTGCCAACATTTGGACCTTGGCCAAAATTCTGCCAGAGACAATGAGTACTTGCTTCTTGGGATACTTCAAAAGGGCAGATTCTCCTGAGTCACAGAGCAGCCTCTGTGTTCCACCCCATCAGTTCACTCATGAGCATCGTCTCCCAGTGTGAAATTCATTCATGGTTAGGCCTTGAGTTATTTGTAAAGAAAACTACATATTTGAAAAGGGACAAGAGCTGTGGATTGGCTCAGTTAGTACAGTGCTTGCCTAGCATGCACAGAGTTTGAGTCCAGCCCCGGCACACAAGGCCCTATTTAAGGACAAATAAAGAGGCAAACAGGCAAATTCTAAGTGATTCCTATATGCATGAAGACACCAAGCAGGTTCAATCTAACAAGGTCCACCTTGCTGCTACACTGACTCTGGTTATTTCTCCCTAGTTGAGCCCAGGGAGTCAGGGGGAACATGGGCAGCCAGAAAGAAGTTTGTCACACCAATGCTCATTTATTATGCCCACTGGGCACAAGCTGCCCTGATGCCCAGAGACTCCCATCATCGCAGACAGCACTGACCAGGTTCCTTCCTTGTATCCAGTGCCTCTGGGTTCCTTCAACAAAATCAATGATTGCTGAGTGGGCTTAGATGCCAGGTACTTAATTTAAAGCAGGAGGTGGGAGATTGAAACGGAGGAGAGGCAGGAGCTGCTGTCTTTGGAGGGGGCAAGGAGCTGTGGAGGAAATCAGCCCTCTCAATGGCCAGCGGCAGAAAGGACATCAGTAGCATCAGCTTGTCCCAGTTGGATGACTGGGACCATAAAGACAGGAAGACACTCCCTCTCCATCCTCAAACACAGCAATCGGTCTTCCTTAAATATTCTTTGATGTAGTTACAAAACTTTTAAAAGATTGCTCACAGGAAGGAAACAGAATTTATGAACAAAATCGTAGCACAAGCTCAGACCAGAAGGCTAAGGGAGCCTTAAAGGGATACCCTCAACATAACCATCAGGGATCCTTGACTATAGAGCCACCCGTCTGCACATCCTGAACTCATTTTCTTCACCTGGTGTTTTGACCTTGGCCAAGGTGCATTCCCTCTGCCGTTCTATAGATGAGGGTGGAAGGCTGGATTAGTGATTTTTATTAGCAATAAACCTGTATGTTGTCCAAATTTTGTTTCATCTACAACCTCAAAGTATAAAATAAGAGGAAGCTGTTTGTCCTCTTGCAGTGTGTACATTCTTTTGCAGTGTGCCCCGAGGATCAGCGGGAATCACCATTGATTTTGTGTCCTCCATGGTGCTTGGGAATCCACATGTCACATATTAGTGAAATCTCTGCAACAGTAATGTGCAGTTAATTTGCCTGAGAACTGAGATCTGTTGTAATCAGGGCTATGAACAAAGATCTGCTGGCAAGAGGCAGAATTGGATTTGAACCATTTATTTTCTTGACTCCAAACACAATATCCCAGCCCCACACCTTGGCACTGCACTGTAAATTGTCCCTTTACCTTTGTAGAATATGGAACTGAATCAACACACACATATAAGTAATACTCTTAAAGACTATAACTCCCCTCATGAGATTTCTGTCTGTGGCAAAGATGTAGCTGGATTTTTGCTTATTTATACCACCTGATACTATATAACAAGTATTGTCAATTTGAAATAAAAATGTGATTAAAACTGGTGTTAATAACTCATGTTGGGTTTATGTTGTGAATTAGGCACAGGGCTGGAAGAATCCTTGACCTTTTCAAGGTGCTTCAAATCCCGCCAACCTTCGGTGTCAGGGGGTGGCTGTAGACCCGAGGAGCAATTCTCATGGTCATTTAAGTCATCCGAAGTCTTAGTTCTTCAAGGTGTGGTTGCTTCAGAAGGTAATAACACACTGTTGCAACCCCTCCCAACATCCCACATCTTTCCTACACCCCCTTCAGTTGCCTCCTATGTTGGGGATGATAAGAAAACCAGCATGGTTGTATGATCCTGGTTAAGGACCTATTGAGAAAGCCCACCAAGCAAGCAAGTGCTCTATCGCCCCACCCTGAGGTCCTCCAGGCATCACTAGCAAATCCAAAGATCTCAGGACCCCTTCAGGAAAGAAACTGACACCGCAGAGCAGACAAGCTTTAGTCAGGCATGAGGCGTGGCAAGGCATGCCAGTAGCTTCCCTGTTATTGACGCCAGCCGTACCACAGAAATCGAAATGTTTCACATGCCACCTGAAGGTACAGAACAAACCCCCAGCAGCTGACAAGAGCTGTTAGAGAGACCTTTGTGCAGTAACTTGATGGACTTTGGGAGAATTATGCCTGGGAGACAATAGCCAAGACTTTAAAGACAGCTATCCTGGACAGTCAAGAAGAGGAGAAAAGAGGTGTGTGTGCACTGCACTGTCAAAGGGAGTTAATAGCCCCTCTTTCTTAGACAAAGAAAATGCTGGGCACGTGGTCCTCACCCAAGCCTCCCCAGATCCATTTCAGTCCCAGGTCCCCTGAGCAGGTGCTAAATCAACCGTGCAGATCCAGGTAGGAAAGGTGAGAGGAGAGAACCTTGAAAATAAAACAAAAGTCCCCACCACACATCCCCCAAAGACTTCATACAGGCCTCACCCCAGATGACTCTGCTCTCCTGCACCGCTGGGAGGTGTCACTGCCACCGCCCTTGGGGGGGGGGAGGGAGTGTTGTCTGTCACTTGGAAATTTCCCCGTGCATTCCTAGAGATGCCTGCCCCTGTCTCTCAAACCCCTGCAAAGGAGAGCAGGCACGAGGGACGAAGACATCTATTCCAAGATGCATAGTAATCTATTTACCACCTGCCTTTGCCTCTGTCTATTTGGGAAACCTAAAAAGGAGTATTTTCCCTACTCCACTGTGTGCCCCACCTCCATCTGGCTTGTGGTCTCCGCGATGACCCCTTGAGGCAGCGCCCCTCGCTTGTCTGGACTGTATGTCATCCGACAAAGCGCGGTGGCAGGCAAGCCCAAGGCATTTTCTTCCAAAGGAGAGACACGCGCGGGGCACCCACTCGGGGCCTCTGCAAGTCCGCCCCACCCGGAATGGAACAAAGCAAGAGAGACAAGGCGAGACGCATCGCTCAGCCCCGGTGACTTCACCAGCGTGCGGGGACCCACGCCCGGTTCCCCCTGCAAGGCGCCGCCTGCGCCCGCGGCTACCCATGGGTCAGTAGCGCCGCGCGTCCTACGCCGCCTCGCGCTGCCCGCGTCCCCAGGCAGCTACTGTACCTGCTAAATTTAGCGACCGCCGAGTATTAATAGCTCTCGCGACCCGGGGCTGGTGGTTCGCAGGGGCGCTCGGCCCTAAGGGGACGTAGGGATCGGGAGGGAAGGGAAGAAGGGACACAGGAGAAGAGGTCACTTACACCACCAGCCTGGAGATGATCCACGACACCATGGCGGGCGGGCGGGCACGGCCCGGATTGCTGGGCTGCGGGCGGTGCTGCGCTCCCGACGCGTCTGTCTGTCCGCGCACCGCCGCCGCCGCCAGACTAAGCGCACCCGCCCGGCCCGGCCCCGCGCTCGCGCGTCGGCGCAGCCGCGGCACGTTCCGCCCGCTGCCCCAGCCCCCCGGGGCTCCGCGGGCCCACGGCGATTGGGCGGCTAGCGGTGAGGGCACCCGCGCGACCCGCCCCTGCTCAGATCGTCCCAGCCCCAGGGCTGCATCCAGGGCGGGTCCTCCTCCGCCCTCCTTGTGAAACCGTGTGGTGCGGTGGCTCAGTGGGCTGGGCCTCGGAACCCCCAGAGAGAGGCTGTTTTCACCTTCATTATTACGGTGGGGAAACTGAGGTCTGAATCTGGACTTTGAAATCCTGCCTACACCTGTCTGGACGAGGTTCTGTCATTCTTCACTTAGATAATACGCTAGCCTCGGGAGAAACCTGAAGTCTTCAACTGTCACTCTATAAGTCTTCATTTCAGCATCTCAGCAAGTGTCTGCCTACTGACAGCTCTAGTGTCCCTACACGATCCCCTCTCTGACTGCAACCCCGTCACCGTTCACCACGTGTCCCTTCAGTTCTTTTTACTGCAGATTCATTCTCTCTCTCTCTCTCTCTCTCTCTCTCTCTCTCACACACACACACACACACACACACACACACACGAACTATCACACACGTCAGAGATCAACATGCAGGAGTCAGTTCAATGCAGGTGTCCCGGTGACAAGCAGCAGGGGAGCTGTCTCACAGACTGGCACCTTGGACATTCCCTGTCCATACAGGTACTTCTGTCTTTCATCCTCAAGCCTCAGCTAATGGGCTACAAGAGCTGAACAGCATACATCATGGCCCAGCAGTATTAACAGAGCCATGTGGTATCTTGGGCAAAATGGAAACTGCATTCAGTATCAACACATTAATGCATTTACTTATTGCATCACGTAGGATTTGTCTTGATCACGGAATTTTATGGCATCCCTTTAAATTTTGCAGCCCGGCTGAGAGACTTGCTTTGCTCACCCTGAGGGTGGACCTGCACCAACTTCAATAGCACTTGAAAGCCTTTGTCCTTTATCCCTGGACTCTGCTGCTCCCTCCCTCCAGTAGTTTAGGTCCCAATGACTTGCTCTTCGTTGCGGATACTCAGTTGTGTACAATTCAGTGCCCAGTATGAGGAATTCTGTGGAGACTTAGTTTGTAGCTTTTCTAAAGGAGCCCTGCTCAATATGGTTTCTTGCAGAGGAAAAGGTAACTTTGGACCTTGGCTGAAAGACACTGAAAATGTGATAGAATATAGATGGTGGCATGCACCTATGCCTCCGATTCTTGAGAGGTAGAAACAGGAACCTGGCTAGTATCCTAAGAGCAGTCTCAACCACCTCACTCCAAACTCAGGCATGGTAGTTGACCCTGTAACACTCACCCTAGGAGGAGGAGACAGAAAGATGAGTTCAAAGCCATTCTTGGCTACTTAGGGAGTTCAAGGCCAGTCTGGATTACATGATTCAGTCTGTCTCTGTCTGTCTTCTCTATGTATGTATGTATGTATGTATGTATGTATGTATGTATGTATGAATACTTTCTGACAATTAAGGGGCTATGAGAGAGCTGCCTTCTCTGATGTCTCTTTGTCTCTATGTCTTCTTTGTCACAAAGAACCCCAAAAATACCTGTAATATAGAGGGGGTTAGTGTAGTGTTGAAGCCGTTTGGAGGTTGGTCATTTTGTTTTTGGGCAGCTATGAACCTCATACCCCAAACCACTTCCCTTACAGAACCCCCACACTGAAGGCCACTATACACCTATGTATGAGACTACCAGAGTTGCTTCTGCGTTCCGGTGCCCACTGAAGTTACTCAGATTAGGAAATCATAAAGCTGCCTGGCCTTGCCTTCCTTCAGGAATATTTGTTATGGCTTCCTCTTTCCCGCTGCCTTGTGGCAAGCTCAGCTGTTTTCCTTGAGCTGCCTATATGGCCTGTGCTCTCTCCAGGGATGAAAGCACATAGAATAATCTGAATTCTTTTCAAGCTGTGTCTTAATTGTCTGGCCTCACCATACTTACTAGAGATCATAAAATTAAACAGAGAAAAGCTTGGAAAGCTTACTAGGCAGTGAAAATCCTTAAGGCCAAGCCAGGCATGGTGACACATGGCATGGTGACACATGGCTGTAGACCCGAACTTGAGAGGTTGAGGAAGAGGCATGATCATGAGTCTGAGGCCAGCCTAGATTACAAATGTGAGATTGTAGCTCACAAAACAAACCACCACAGACGAGCGTGGTACAGCAGTGCACATCTGTAATAGTAATAACAACAGTAAAATGAACAAAAATTTAAAGACACAGAAAGGGCTGTGTGAAGTTCAGTCACAGAGGTACCTGCCTTGCAAGCACAGCTCTTGAGTTTGATCCCTAGAAGCCAGGTTACAAATAAAAACTTGTAATCCAGAGACTGAGGCAAGAGAAGAGATCCCTGGGGCTTGCTGGCCAACCAGAGCCTAGACACTTGGTGTGCTCTGGGCCAGTGAGAGGTCCTGTGTCCTAAACACCAAATGATGCCCAAAAAAGACACCAGAGGCTTAACTTGATTTACAACACACACACACACACACACACACACATGTCATACACACACACCATACATACACACACTATATACATACACACCACACACACATCATACACACACACACCATACACACACACATATATCATACACATACAACACACACACACCATACACATACACATATATCATACACATACAACACACACACATACCACACACACACACCATACACACTCACACCACACACATACCATACACATACAACACACACAGCATACACCATACACATATACACACACATACCATACGTATTCCAAAACCACAGCAAGACAATCAAGCAAGGGGGATCTTCTGAGTTCTCCTCACATGTTCTTCCACCACACACACTAATGAGATCAGGAGACCTCATTAGGAGGTCCTTGAAGGATGGAGGGATGGAATAATACAGCTCATCAGGGCTTTGGTAGCACAGGCCTATAATTCCAGCTGTTGTAGAGGCTGAGAAAGGAGGCTTGCAAGGTTGAGGCCTGCTTGGACTACAGACAGAATTCAAGGCCAGCCTGTTCTACTTAGTGAGATCCGTAGTAAAACAACAACAAACTCGGAGGAGAGACTGGGATAGCTCAGTATCAGGCTTGCTTAGTATGTGCAAGACCTGGAGTTCAATCCTCAATATTGGAAAAAAAAAGTTTGCAATTTCAAAAACTTTGGTTTGAGGAAGTATCCTGAGCTGGGAGACAATGGAGAGCTGCCCTATGCTATTTCCTGCTTGGGCATGCGCAATGGGTAAGCTTTGTGAGTAAATGGAAAACACAGGTTTGATTATTGTGCTCCATTGGACATTTCTGGAGGAATGGGCTAGAAAATTAGTGAGACCACCCAGGTTTTCTTTAACAGTCAGGAGGTCTTGTTCCATAGAGCAAGGCTGAGCGATAAGCAGGAGGAGAACCCGAGACAGGAAGAAAGTTACTTTGTTGCATTCCATTTCTCTGAGTAAAAATGTTGCATGTACTGCATCTCTCCATCCGGGACCCTCCGGTTCGTCCTTGGCCACGGCCCTGGAAAACGCTGAGACCAGGCAAGAGTTCATTGTTTAGACAATGGGGCTCTCACGCCACTATCAGTTGGCTCGCTTTGAGTTTCTTTTCTCCTGAAGGGCTGTGTAGTGCGTGATTTCTGCTGCTGCTTCTTCCACCTTCTGACAGCCTCCTGCTTTGTATTTGAATGACCCTCTCACATCCTGACCTGAGAAATTGCAATTCTTCTTATGTCTTTACTACCTTAATTGGTTTGTGGATGATTACCAGACATAAGCTGGGTCCAACATTTCTCCCTACTACTTTTTTTTTTATTGAAAACAGAAAGAATATACTTCTACATTTGCCAGTGAACTAGTTCCCAGAATAAAAAGGCACGCATATGTTAAAGCGTCTTGCAAGGCTGGCTGACTTTGTAGAACTTCGTGATTGTAAAGAGTTAGACTGTCCCAAATCTATAAACAAATTGTCTTCTGTTATTTTTATTAATCTTAATAGCCATTCCTTGCTGTGATGACTATTCTTGGTTGTCAACTTATTACATCTGGAACTACATAAGACCCAAATGACTGTGAGGGGATTTTTTTCTTAAATCATCTGAAATGGGAAGACCCACTTTTAATCTAGATCTTTTGAGGTGGGAAGATCCACCTTTAATCTGGGCCACGCCTTTGGTTGACAGCCTATATAAAGGACACAAAAAGAGGAAGCTGGCTCTCTCTTTTCCTGCTTTCTTTCGCCTATCTACCAAGACCATTCCTTCACAAATATAGAAATATATATAACTGTACCTAATATCACTTTAAGTGTCGGGTAGAATCTATTGTTGACTAAACATTGTTTTCCACCAAACCAAAAGATAAAGACATCTTCAGATAGGTACTAACACCTGTTTCTCTGATTGATATTTTCATTACGTACTTTAAAAATAACTTGATTTATAACTTTGTCTATAACTCTAAAAACTTTATGGAACCATGTCTACATTGGAGTATATCATTCTCTCTCTCTCTCTCTCTCTCTCTCTCTCTCTCTCTCTCTCTCTCTTTCTCTTTCTCTCTCTCTCTTTCTATCTCTTTCTTTCTTTTTCCTCACCCCACCTGTTTTGAGCTGCTCATAACAGACCTTGCTACAATGAAGGTCCTGGGTCACTTCCTGGGGTACTGCAGATAGGTGATGAGTGCCTCTTCAGTGCCAGCAACAATTCTGTTCTAGCTTTTCTACCTTCTCAACATCTTGAGGGTAGATGTGACCTCTGACCTTCATACCTTTGACTCCAATCCACTGGTTTCAGATCCAATCACAAAAAAAAAAAAAAAAAAACAACAAGATAGTGGCCTCTGGGACATTAGTCCTCTCCTTAAAGTCTTCATCTGATTCTGAAACAAGAAGGTACCCCACGTTCCTTTCTATGGCTACTGGAGTTTCTCTCAGAGTGTTGTCTTCATGGCGCACTATTCATCTCTTTATGTTTCTCTTTCATGGATGTGGCATCTAGAAGATGCAATCCATGTCTAAAGGTAATCTGAAGCACAGGACACAGCACAGTTCACTATCCGTGATGCTCTTCTGGGCTGTCCACTCTGCAGTTGATGACATCATTCCCGTAGCCAGGCATGACCACT